TTTCAAGATTTTCAAGAGTTGTTTATTCTTCTGGCAGCCCATAGTATCTTTAATATTCCTTGCCAAAATATTAGTCAAAGAGAAGTTCTTAGTTTTTCCTTAGTCATTATCCAGCTTTTGCTTGCATGTGAGCCATTTAAAAATACTGTAGCTTATGGCAGGTACATCTTGGTCCTCAGAGCGATGGTTTTGCCTTTTAACATTTTGGAATTCTTTTACAGATTTATCCAATATAATATGTTGTTACTTTCTGAATTGCTGCTTATTGCAAGTAAAATGAACTCCTTGACAATTTTGATCTTTTCTTCAATCTGTTGACCATAATGTTGTTTATTGGTCCAGTGGTGAGGGTTTTTTCCTTCTGTAATGAAGTGTAATGCATACAGAAAACTGTAATCCTTGATCTTCATCAGTAAGTATTTCAAGTCTTCTTTGCTTTCAGGAAGTAAGATCATGGGTTGTTACTGAGACTTCCACTAATCCTGTTGCTGCATTCTTCATATAGTCTCGCTTCTCAGATTATTTGCTCATAAGTATGGTAAAAGGATACAACCCTGCTGCACACCTTGCTTAATGTGTCTGATGAAACCTCATAAAGCTAGTAAAAGAACAGTTTCCAAAGCAAGAACAAGTACAGGGCTCTCTTAGCTTAATAATTCCTAGAGCTCATATAGGGCTGGGAATTATGTAAATTCCTATAACAACCTGTACTATGCAGATGACACAACCTTACTTGCCAAAAATGAGGAGGGCCTAAAGCATTTGCAGAAGGTTAAGGACTGCAGTCTTCAATATGAATTGAGGCTCAACATCAAGAAGATGATTATCATCCCTGAGCCAATTGGCAGCATGCTTATGAATGGAGAGAAAATTGAGATCGTTAACAATTTTAGCTTGCTTGATTCCATAATCAACATTCTTGGCACCAGCACACAAGAAATCCAAAGAGTTGCACTGGGAAAATCTAGTGTCAGGGACCTCTCCAGAGTGCAAAAGAGCAACTATGTCAGCCTGGAGACTTAAGGTGTGCCTGATCTAGGCCATGGTCTTTGCAATTACTTACTGGGCATCAGAGAGCTGGACAGTGACTAAGGATGACAGAAGGATCGATGCTTTTGAATCTTGGTGTTAGAAAAAAGTGTTGAACATTCCATGGACCACCAGGAGAGAACAAACAGGGTAAAATCAAGGTGCTCCTTGGAGGCGAGGATTCTGAAACTCCATCTCACATACTTCAGGCATGTTGGCAGGAAGGGCCGGTCCTTGCAGAAGAACATCATGCACTGAGGGACAGTGCAAGAGGGGAAGACCCTGGATGAGGTGGATTGACTCATTAATTGGAAAAATGGGGTTAAGTGTGTCACAGACAGTGAGACTGGCTCAGGATAGGGCAGATTATTGTTCATAGGATTGCCATGAGTTGCAGGCAATTCAATGGCACGTAACAACAAACAACAACTAGCTGACTTGGAGAAACTTGATTAGATGGAGTCTATCTTAGTAATTGGGCTAAACTAGCCCCAAAATAAAGACTACTCTAGATCTGCCCTCTCAAAACATAAAAATTCATTTGTAAGTAATTAACTGTCCATGTTCAGCTTTCCCTAAAAGTATATAATAAAATCTGGCATATGACATATAATGACTAAATGTACAAAGACAAAAATGTGACCCATAGTGAGGAGAAAAATCAATCAATAGAAACACATAAGTGTCAAAGATGATTGAATTACAAGATAAAGATATTAAAAACAGCGATTATGACTATGCAAAGGCTGTGTGGGTCCTAATAACTTATGACTAACTCCCTTTGAGAACAGTGTGAATCCCAGAACACCAAATTGTGCTAATATGAAATCTATACCTAAACCAAGAAGCTGTTGTCCAAACCAAGCAAGGGAACACTTCATGGTTTAAAATTAGAGTGTGCATTAGGATTGTATCCTTTCTCCATACCTGTTCAATCTGTATGGTGAAGCTGGACTTTGTGAAGAAGAATGTGGCATCAGGATTGGAGGAATACTGAAAGTAAGGAGGATATGAAACACTTGCTGTAGAAGATCAAGGACTATAGTGTTTGGTATGTGTTACATCTTAACATTGAAAAAAACCCAAAGGTCCTCACCACAGGACCAGTAGTCAGCATTATGATAGATGGAGAAAGGATTGAAGCTGTCGATGAGTTCATCTTCTTTGGATCAACAGTCAACATGCTTGGTTGCCAGCAGTCAAGAAATCAGGAGATGTTTTGCACTGGGAAAGTTGGCTGTAAGGGACCTCTCTAAAATGCTGAAGAACACTGATGTCAGTTTGAAGACTGTGGTATATCTGATTCAAGCCATGGTCTTCTCGGTCACCTGCTACACATCAGAGAGCTGGAAGAAAAATTGGTACCTTTGAGTGGTGGTGCTGGAGAAGAGTGCTGAATGGCTATACTGCCAAAAGAACAGATAAGTCTTGGAGAATGTGCAGCCAGAGCACTCCTTGGAGGAAAAGATGATGAAGCTTCATTTTTTTTATACTTTTGACATGTAGCTAGGCGAGGCTGTTCCTTGGAAGGAGACATCATGCTTGGAAAGCTGTAGGGTCAGTGAAGGAGAGGAAGACCCCCAGTGAGATGGATTGACATGCTGACTTCAGCAGTGGGCTTGAGTGTATTAGAGATGATGAGGATGGCACAGGATAGGGCAGAGTTCAGGTTGGTTGGCTGTTCATAGAGTTGCTGAGTCCTACATCACTTTACAACACCTAACAACAACATCATTATGAATAGTGTGTAAGATTTTAAAGGGAAATGCTAACATAATGGGATAAATGTGAGTTATAAAATAGAACTAAATGGAAGTTCTAGAAATGAAATAATACTGAAAATGTCTCTGGATAGATTAGTAAGTTAGACTGTGCTGGTATTGCAGATGTCTTTACACATGAATAATTTGATAGTATGTTCCACAGTCTGTGCCTGGCCTGGTTTTGACTACTGAGATTGAACTTTTTCAGTGATTCTTTCCACAGATGTAGTCAATCTTATTTCTGTATAGACCATAAAGTGAGAGCCATGTATCCACAATATTCTTAGTATCACATGCAAGTAAAATCTTGCTCAAGATTATCCCCAAAATGGCTACAACACTATATCGACAAAGAACTGCCAGAAATTCAAGAAGGCGTAGCATAACAGATATCATTGCTGATGTCAGATGGACCTTGACTGAAAGCAGAGAATATCAGAATGATGTCTCTATTTGTGTTTTATTGACTATGCAAAGGCATTTTACTATGTGGATAATAACAACCTGCGACTGACACTGAAAAGAATGATAACCCCAAAACACTTAGTTGTGCTCATGCAAAACCTATACTAGATCAAGAAACTTGTTCTAACAGAGCAAGGGTTTAAAAGAAGGATGCATCAGGGTTGTATGCCTTCTCCATACTTACACAGTCTGTATGCTGAGCACATCATTCAAGAAGCTGAACTATAACATATGGCATTAGGATTAAGGAAGCTCATCAATGTATGTTATGCAGATGATGCAATCTTTCTTACTAAAAGTGAAGAGGATTTGAAACATTTGCTGCAGAAAAACAAAGACTGCAGTCTTCAATATGGATTACATCTCAATGACAGGGAAATAAAAATCCTCACTTACAAGGATAACAGAAGACAAATTGATGCCTTTTGAACTATGGTCTTGGAAAATAGTACCAAATATCCTATAGACTGCCAAAAGAACAGATATGTCTTTGAGAAGGTGCTGCCAGAGTTCTCCTTGGAAGCCAGGATGGCAAAGCTTCATCTTTCCGTTTGAGCATGTTGCTAGGAGAGGCTAGTCCTTGGAGAAGGACATCATGCTTCTCCAGAGATGATGGGGTGGCGAAGGAAAGGAAGACCCTCAACCAGGTCGATTGACACAGTGCCTGCAGCAATGGGATCAAGTGTGTCAGAGATTGAGGTTGGCATAGGATAGAACAGCGTTCAGATTTGTTGTTTTTGAGGTTGCTGTTAGTCATAATCACCTTGATGACACCCAACAATAGAAAATAGTACAGAAAGAAAATCAAGAGATCTTAAGTAATTACAATAGAAATAATTCCGAATAAAGCACAAAAAAGAAAAATGACTGTACAAAAATATGAGTAGACCAAGTGATCTCAAACACTTGTAATTGGAGTCCCAAGTGGAGATGAGCAGAAAAACAGAAGTATATAAGAAATAATGGCCAAACTTTAAAATTATAATTGAGTTTATTATTAATGTATCCTGTGAAATGGTATGCATGAGAGAAAATATTTCATGGATACTACTTAAGAAGAATTGTTTTTTTGGTGTTGTTGTTGTTGGTGGTGGTGGTGGTGGTGTTATGTGCCATCAAGTCATAGATGACTCATAGTGACCCTATGAATGAAAGACCTGAACACTTGTATAACTTGCATGGTTTCTCTAAGTTCATAGAATTTCCGGAGGCAAAGTGTTTTGGAAGTGGATGCCACTCCTTTTTCCAAGCTTGTTTTAATCAGGGAGCTCCACAGACACTGTCCACCATGGGTGACCATTATCGCATTTGACACATCAGTGTCACAGTGTTTAGCATCACAGCAACCACTAATTACCACTGTACGGTAATGCACAGACCAGTGCTATACCACCACTTAGGAGAAATTATTCGATTGGAGCAATTATTTGATATCACAGCAGCTATAATCTGAATACATTAGCATTTTCAGCAGGCAAGACAGAGAAGAACAAATAAATAATTATTTATGGCGGGTAGTATATACCAGAATAGAATATTATTTGTGTTATATCAGTGTTGTATTATATTGTGTTGTATTATATTGTGTTGTATTTGAGGATATATATAAGAAAGCATCCTTTTATTAGTTCTTAAATGCATTATTTGGTCTTTTGTGCAATTAAGTCAGACATTAGAGGTCATATAGTACAAGAATAGATTTGTGATTTTTGTATTGTCATAATATTTTGTATTGTTACTTAGCTTCAGAAGAACTGACTATTGCTGGCATGACTTTTACGACTTTTGATCTGGGTGGACATATTCAAGGTAAGAGTCTACAACTACCATGTCCATTTTGTTTTATTTTAACTTAATAAAAATAAGACCATTATGCTCCAGTGCCTGAAATTTTGTTCTCTTCAAACAAGGCCAGGGTGGGCTTAAATTTTAGGAGTTTAATTTAGGAATGTCTTAGAAATTATTACTCCCTCCATGGGTGTATGAAAACCCACCATTTCTGTAAATTTTCACTGAAATCACACACACACAAAGAAGAAATTATTATCCCTAAGTAAATACTTTAACAATAAAGATTGATTTTCATGAAGGCCTCTTTGGTCAATTTATTTAATACTGAATTGCTTTTGGTGGCTAAAGCATATGAATAAAGTTAGCCTAAATTTCGTCTGCTCCAGTTCGTACTTCTTATCATATTCACAGTTGTGAAAGTTATAGCTCTATAAGAAACCTTCAGTGTGTCACTCATTACTTACAGAATAAAGACTCAACTCATTGTCATTCAGGATCTCAATGAATTAGTCCTCATTTATTTTTCTGATCTTAAATTTACATTATTCCTTCTCCTGTTCTCTTTGCCTGAACCCAAACAGGTTTTTTTCCACCTCTGTGGAAAAGGTGAGGTGCTTCCAAAAGAGGTGTCTTTCCACCTCTGTGCTTTGATTGTGACACCCCTGTTTACACATGAGTAACTCCGTTAGGGTCCAGTTTGAGTGCTGCTGCCTTTCCTTGGAAGCCACTCCTAAGTGAGAGTCCTCACAACTTTACTTCCGTAGCATTAGCACACTTGTATACATGTCTAGAACAAATTCGAAAGACTCCCCTATGAAACTTTCTGTGACTAAAATCCTACTCATTAACAAAGTACCCAGAACATAGTGGTAACCAATGAGTTTTACAGAAATGTTAGATCTTCTAAAAACCTCAAGTGACATATAGTTTAAAAGATTGTAAATTGTTGTGGCTAGTGAAAGTAGTTACATTTGAGACATAAGAATTATTTCATATATATGTATATGTAGGTTGCTGTGCTGTTGTGTATCGTAGAGTTGAAACCAACCCATAGCTGACCCTCTGGCGGGTTTTCAGAGACAATCACACAAGAGGAGATTGCCCATCTTCCCACGGAGCAATTTGTAGCTTCAAACTGCGTGCCTTTGGGATTGCAGCATAGTTTCTTGCCACTAGGCCACCAGAGCTCTCTCAAATGCATGCTCACTTATGCACATATACATATAAATTAATTTCTAGAATGTAATGTTAGAAAGACTTAGAATCTAATAGTTTATCTGGAATGTCATTATTATATTGTTTCATATTATATCACAGAAAAAAAGATTGTTTTTCCCTGAAACTATTTATCTTCTAAAAAGGAGTATCATGGGGGGGGGATTTCCCTTTATGGTTTCATAGACTTTATTAATTTTTAATATTGAAGCATGTTTTCTGTTAGGAGTAGAACATTTACTTTTCTTAAGCTTGCAAATCTATACTTAATTCTAATTTTCTTCTGCCACTGACTCCAAATTTATTAATCACAAAAAAAAATCAAGAGTTGTTAGAAAACTTTAATATTTATATTTAATACCACAAATACTTGTGTGTGTTCTATCTCTCCCCTACCCCCACAACTGGCTTGTATTCTAGATTTCCTAATAATTGGCCTGGAAATTTGCTTTTGAAACATCACAGCCTTGAAAATTTTAAGAAGCAGTCCTGCTGTTTGCATATGAGGTCATCATGAGTGGAAATTGACTCAATAGCTATTAACAACAACACATTTTAAAGTTATAATCTTCCAGAGTAATCTTCTGGTGCTTTAGTGGCAAGGAGTTGCACTACCAGACAAAAAGCAGGCAGTTTGAATCTACCAGCTGCTCCAAGGGAGAAAGATATTTCCATATGATTTGCAGCTGTGAGTCAGATCTGACTGGAGGGTGCATAGCAACAAACCTCCAGGAGGACCGTTATTGATACAGTGTGTTAAGTGTTGGGCAGCTAGCCAAAAGGTCAGTGGTTCACACTCAGAAGCAGGGCTGTGAAAGAACTATGGAAAGTTCAATCAGTTCCTTAAGATTCACAGCCTTGGGAATGCTGTGAGACAGTTCTGTTCTTCTGTAGGGTCGTTAAGTCACAGTTGACTCAATAAGTTAATGGAGTTTGGAGTCCTCCAGTAAATGTAATGTTTATTATTATCTACTGTCAAAAAAACCCCAACCAAAACAAACTCACCTTGCTGTTGGGCCAGAACAAGACTGCTAAACCACCAGATCTCCTGCTGTCTATTGGTTGTTTTTGTTGTTACATACCATCTACTGGTAGCAAATATTAATTTATTTCTCATATCGGAAAGTTCGGGCAGGGTAAAGTGTTTGGCATGGGCACAATTAAGGAAAGCCTGGAACATTTCTGGTAAAGATCACCTTCTGGAAAGATGGTAAATTTTTCCATTAGGTATAAGATTAACTTGTTAAGTGCTGTTGAATTGAGTATAACTCATAGAGTTGCTATGAATAACAGGTCTGAACCCTGTCCAATCCTGCGCCATCCGTATTACCTCTGATAAACTTGATCTCATTGCTATAGCCTCTGTGTCAGTCTATCTCATTGAGGGTCAAGATTAACGTAGGTATGTAGTAAATGTTTGGAAAGGTAGAAGGTTAGAGTAAGAGATGAAGACCCTCAACAAGATAGACATGTGACTGTAACACCAGACTCAAGTGTATCAGTGATGGTGAGGACACCACAGGGTTCAGATCCATTCATGGGATCACTTTGAGTTGCAGATGACTTAGTGGAACATAACTACAGGGGATGACTGGAGCTCTAGTAGTGTAGTTGGTAGGGAGTCATGCTGCCCCCCCAAAATGGTGCCTCTCTTATGTTTTGGGACTGCTCCCTGGGAAAAAGACAATCTGCTGTGATATACACCTTCTTGAAAACTCACTGAAGGTCAGCTGTGAGTTGGTTCTGACTTGACAGCAATGAGTTGTTAAGGGATGACTACTCTTTTTATCTTGTTGGACTCTTCCATCAATTTGGCCAGCAAATAAAATCTAACTCCTGACTTTTTTTTTAGCTCGAAGAGTGTGGAAAAATTACCTTCCTGCTATCAATGGCATTGTATTTCTGGTGGATTGTGCAGACCATGAAAGGTTGTTAGAATCAAAAGAAGAACTTGATGTAAGTTAAATAAAACTAAACATAGTTCAGTCACTGTAGTAAGCATGAGGAAATAGATTGGAGATGTAGGTACTAAGGAGCAAAGTTTTCTTCAGTCTCTGATGTAACTCCTACCAATTTGGTGATTCAGTGATTAAGTAGTGATTACTTAGAGTGGTAAAGGAGCAACTTGGAATAATTGTAATTATTAAGGAAGTACTAGCACTGTCTTCCTTCCTTAAGACTTGAGGAGCTCACCCTATACAGAGTGTGTATATTACCCTTGTAGAATGTATTGTCTCCTGCATTCCTGGAGTGGGTTGGTTTGAGTACCTGATCATACTTGGATGTCAATTTCTTCAGGAACATACCAAACCCTGGATGACATACCATCCTTGTCATCACTCCTAATAGTGAGCAGAGACCTGTATATTCACTCTTCTCACCTCCTCTTGCTTACCCCCAATGTTTCCTAAAGGGTGTTAAGAGCAGCAGGCAGGCCATCACAGAGAAAGCAGGTCCATGATTTAAATTAGCATGCCCAAATTCCTGTTCATGTGAAAAAGCCCACATAGTTTCTGTAATCTTAGAAGAGGATCAGGGATTTCCTAAGAGCCTACTATGTGCCAGGCACTGTACATACATTTAATTCTTAAACCAACTTGATAGGTAGGCACCACTACTCTCAATTTTCTTTGAAGTTCAGTGAGGCTAACTTTCCAAGGTCACAGAACTTAATACATAACAGAAAGGGGAATAATCAGTTCTGCCCACTTTAGGCATTGGCTCTAGTCAGTGTACCTCATAGATTTATAGGGTAAACATTTCAGAGACAGCATTAGGAAGAAAGAAGAAATTAGTTTATGGTTTTATTTTCCTCCATTTAAAAGGTAGAGAAAGTTTACCAAAGAATATTGAAAAGTTGACATGATTTGGTAGAGAATGAGACTATTTTTATATTTTGTTAAAAAAGCTCTTTAAATGATTTCGTATTAATGTCTTAGTTTTTGTTTTGTTTTCAGTCATTAATGACAGATGAAACTGTTGCCAATGTGCCTATCTTGATTCTTGGGAATAAGATCGACAGACCTGAAGCTATCAGTGAAGAGAGGTTACGAGAGATGTTTGGTTTATATGGCCAGACAACAGGAAAGGTAGGAAAAAATACTTCTCAGCTCCCCACTTATGTTTTTGTTGTATGGCACAAATGTCTTCTTAAATTCCTGTTGCCTCAACTACGTAAGCCCTTTTTCTCCTTTTTTCCCCCCCTTAAAGTAAAGCTTTTCAGTCCATTGGCTATTTTTATGATGTCTTCATTTCTTTATTTTCTACCACTGTATGAAATCTTTTTATGATGAAGTCAAGACAGTCCATTCTCAATTGTGCTTAACTCTGGTGTTTATGGGAAATAGAGCTTTTGAAGTTTTATCATAAATTTTCATAATTAGCTAAATAAAAAATATGCTTGAGTGTTTAAACATACCAATAATTGTATAAACATGACAGTTAACTATTTAGGTCCTAAATTCAGTATAGATAAATACAACATAAAAATGGTACAGTAGTATTTTTCTGATTTTGAACATGAAAATGCTTGTACATTTTATAAAAACTAAGATGTATTATTTTTGCATTTCTTTTATTTTAACTTGGAAAATTTTATTTTGACAGTGTATAGTATCTGAGTCTGAAAAGATTTAAAATTTTTTATTTTGCTGTTTTTAACAATATATACAACAAAACATATACCACTTCAACAGTTTCTACATATACCATTTAGTAAAATTGTTTAGTAAAATTGTCCAGTTCTTCAAGTTGTGCAACCATTTAACCTAATTTCCTAAGTTACTCCTCTCCCATTAACATAAATTCACTGCTTCCTAAAACTCTTACATAATCATTCAAATTTTAATGTCAACTTGATTCTATATAGAGAATTCTTAAAAGAATTTGATGCTTAAAGTGAACATATTTTTACTAGTTAAGCTAAACTATTGTTTGGTTCTAAGATTTCAGGGGATGTTTTTAGTTTGAGAATTAAAAGTTTTCTCAGGGCAACATTCAAAGGTTCTTCCAACCTTCATGACTCCAGGAATTCTAGAGTCCATGAAAATTTGAAATTCTGTTCTCCATTTTCCCTCTTTTGATAAGAATTATTTTATGGAATTTTTGATAGAATGTTTGGTATTGGTGGCCATGTACCATCTGGTTCTTCTGGTCTCAGGACGAAGAAAGCAATTATTTATTGAGGTGTTTAGTCATGTACTCCACAACTACATTCTATTTCTGATTCTCCTTCCTCTGTTGCTTTTGGCATATTGTTGAGGGCCATCGAGTTGGAACTGACCCATAGCTGACCCTACAGCAGGTTTTCAGAGGAAGTTAATTGCACAGAAGGATATTGCCTATCCTTCTCTAGCTTTAGGCATATAGACATTTTTACCAATTTCTGTTTTCTTGGTTTGGTGGGCCCTACAGCTTCATCATTTCTGTGGTCTAATTTGTATCTGCATTGTCCTATTGGTGCCTTATTTGGTGCTTTGGATAGCTGTATTCAAGCTTTTAAAACCCCAGACACTATTTTATAGACTTTTTAGATAGAATGTGTTAAGAGGGGGAAAAACCCTCTTGATGTTAAAAATCTCAAACAATGGACAAACTCTTGATTGTATAAACAATTTTCTTGGTTTATGTATACTCATATCTAGTCTTTTGAGTTGCTGTTGCCAGTTTGAATATATATGAATATATATAATCTGTCTGTCTGTCTACCTACCTATCTATCTATCTATCTATCTATCTATCTATCTATCTTCAAAGAGCATAATCTTGAAGACAGACTTTTTTCCTAATTAGGCTACAATGTTGCTTAATTTAAAGCAGGCTTCAGGGAATATTTTTGGTTTAAAACAAAAAGATTATCTCAGGTCAGAAGCTTCAGGGGTTCATTTATCCTCAGTGGCTCCAGAAAGTTTGAAATCTATGAGAATTTGAAATTCTGTTTTGTTCTGGAGTCTTCTATCTTTGATCAAAGTGTTCTGTATAGTGAGATTATTTTTTTATTCTTATGTATCTCACAAGCTAACCTCTTTTCCACTGAATAGTCATCTTGCTGTAAGTAGACAAAGGAGACTACCTGTGTATTTATTGGACCTGAACTTTTTCACAACCACCCGTTGTTCTAAGATGTATTAATATGAAGTTCTATTGGGTAGTGGATTTATTTTATAATGAGTCTCTCAGCATAATTCCTGTCTTCTCTTCTAGGGCAATGTATCTCTGAAAGAACTCAACGCCCGACCCTTAGAAGTCTTCATGTGCAGTGTGCTTAAAAGACAAGGCTATGGAGAAGGTTTCCGCTGGATGGCGCAATACATTGATTAACATCAACCATATGAGTTCCAGGTCAAACCATTCAGGCCTACTCAGAGATGTTTGATCACTCAGCACACATAACTTGAATTCAATAGACTTTTGTTGGTTATAAAACAGATGTTTTTAAGATTATTAATATTCTATCAATTTAATTTGAGTGAAAATTGAAAAGTGATTGAAATAAGTTTGAGTATCATAATCTTAGCTTTCTAATTCCATAAAAATAGTTTTTAAAGTTTATAATCCAACATTACCCCCAGCATCGTTTATAAAGAGCAACTCTCCAGCCATACATTGGAACCACTTTTTTAACAACATAAAGTTACAACCATAAACCATATTTAAAAGCTTATTATGTTAAATTTTTTTATGTACTTTTTGGAACTAGTTTTAAAATTTTAGATTCTATGTCTGTCTACCTTGAGTGTACAGTTAATAATTAGGTTATCAATGATTGCATGATGCCTTACAGTTTTCAGTAATATTTTTTCTTATGCAAAGGTCATGCAATAAAACAAACTAATGTTTGGCAAATGTTTCATTTTAATGTGTTTTATCTAGTTAGTAGACTTTGAAAATTTGAGTATTTAATATTACACATATCAGAGGATTATTGGAAAAGAAGATTGCTTCAAAAAGTTTAGCCTGTAGAGGCTTTTGCGTTTACCCGGAGCACAGTTGTGATTGGTTGCACCTGCTGTCACGTGTGAGGCTGAGTCAGATGTATTTTGATCTGTAAGGCTGCTTTTTTACCATTACTGATGGGGCCTGTTTTAGTCCTTTTGTGATCAGCCTTCTGAACAAAAGAACATCTAATGGTACAACGCAGGGTTGGTTCTTGGTTTGTTAAGCCCTGTAGCTTCATCTCAAGGTGCTCTTGGTGTTGTAGTGTGTTATATGTTTGGCTGCTAACCAGAAGGTTGTCAGTTCAAGTCCACCAGCCACTCCATGGGAAAAAGATGAGCAGTTTCCTCAAGAAAGAGTTACAACCTCAGAAATCTGATGGAGGATCTTCATGAGTTGGATTTGTCTTAACAGCAGTGGTTATGGCTTCATCTCTCTGGTCTAATTTTTAAAAGTCTTTGATTTTTTGTTTGGGTTTTTTTTTTTAGATCTGGTTTGGTGATCTATACATTGTCACCAAAGGTACTTAATAGGCACTGTCTCTTCACATTTACAGGTACTCTCCAGACTTTACATTTAATGATATTTCCCAGAGTGGGCAACAGTAGGGTCTTGTGCAGTTTCATTGTGGAGGCCTGTTTATTCCCCGAAAAGGAGGCAGCCTGTTCACAGAGAATTGTGGGGATTTTACTCTGATCCTGGAGCTCTTTTGCTTTCTTTAGCATGTTTCTATGTAGGAAGAAGGTAGTGTTTGCTTTTAATTTTCTTTATTTTCAGTAGTTCTCAGCTATCTACTACTTTGTAGTAAAAAAGCTTTTATTTTAGATATAATGCTTGCTTCACTGATAAACTTATGAACAAAATTTTAATTTTTCATTACAATTTTCTAAGAATGTGGTTTCTTCATTGAATTTTTTCCATTTGTCTAAGATTCCCATCATTAGTAAAATGAAAAACAAGTGCCAAATATGTATTGTTAAAGACTCAAGCTGAAGATTTCTCTCTTGGTTATAAACCAAGTATTTCATAGTATATTTAACCAATTCTATTTAAGAATAAATTGGTCCAATTCTATCAAGAACTTTTTTTTTAATTTTTATTATTTTTGTGTGCATGTACCGTCAAATCAGATCTGACTGGTACAGGAGGAAATTGTCCCTCCTTCCCCGGCAGAGCATCTGGTGGATTCGAACCGTGTGCCTCTGGGATTGTAGTTGCAGGTCCTTGCCACTAGGCCACCAGAGCTCCCCTTCTATCAAGAACTTTTAACATCAAAGTTATTCATAATCCAAGTCAGAATTATAATGTTTCCTGTCACTGATAGTGTAACCCATGAGCCAGAAGAAGATTAAGTAATAGGACTAGAAGGAATTAACAGTTATTTTATTAGAAGAGCTAAACTGACCTGGTAATTGCATGACACTTGATTTTACTAAGTAGGCTATTCTTTTTCACTTTGTTTTTTCCCCTCCCCTAAATTAAAAGAAAAGAATTTCTACCTGCCTGAAAACATCATTTGCATCAAGAAAAAAGTAGGAAATGACAGCTCAGCCTGGTGTTTAAGTTCAGATTATTCACTCCTCAACTTCTGATTAAATTGAGCTAAGCCTTATTAAAAGCCTCCTGTTGATGCTATCTATCATGACTGTTTTGAGAGAAATGCCTTTCTTCAGCTATCTCCTAAATGAGGAAGTAGCTTTCTATTAAAAAATATCTTGCTCCTGAACCCTTGTTTTAGTCAGACACTGAGGCCAAAGAAGCAAAGAAATCACTTTATGGGCCACAGTTCAGATGTGGGTATTTTCCCAATAACAGGAGATTCTTACATTTTAGTCTTTAGAAGTGAATGCACTTAGCAGCAACAGCTCCAGTGTTCATTTCAGCTGTAGAGGCCCGAGTCTGCAGAACTCCTCAGTTCCTGGGCTTAGCGTATAGTTCTGACAATCCATCCAGAGTATATACACTGAGTCACTGTTCCCCTCCAGGAAAAGCAAATTAAGAGAACAGTGAGAAGACAGAAGCACACAGGCAAAAATACTCTATATGCACCTGTGGGGTACTTAATGAGTTACTGTTAGGATATAGGTATATTTTGTTTTAACACAGTTGTGTACAAGTTAAACTTGGAGTCCATATAAAGCTGAAAGTGTTCAAAGGTTTTTTTTATTACTGTTTAAAAATCTGAAGCCCTAAGCTGTGTCAGCCAACTTAGAGATTTTTAGAGATTTTTATTCTACATCCATTTCAATGACTGCTTTTAATTTTGACTTATAGCTGATTAAATTTATAGATTTTAGTTTCAGTGAATTTTGAGAATAGAAAATAGCATTGTTTAATTTGGGCAAAATACTTTTCCAAAAGAATGGGGGGAAAACCCCACTTTCTAGCTTTAGCTTAGCTGAACTAGTATCTTTGTATGAGTGCCAAAGATGTATGAATTTCAGATACTGCCTTCATAGATCTGGGCATGTAAAACTAGTGCCTGCATGTATATTTAAACTTACTGTGTTTTATGACATAAAACAGAACTTTGTTTCTTTAGTTTTTAACTGGCTTATACTTCTCTATGGTGCTTTCTAGCATGCAAACTATTTGTAAATTATTAAATTAGGGTGATGGCTATAATAGTGATTCTTGCCTTTTGCAACATGATTTGATTTACCCCATTCAAAACCCAGCATTTTCTTAAGTACCAAAATAAAAAAAAAATAGTTGACATGATTTGAGAGTTTCAGAGGAAAGGCTTAACCATTTTCTGAGACTCTGTATTTTGGAATATGACTCAGTGTGACTTTTCAGTCTGGTAAAGGATATAACTGAAATTTGTAAGGATTGATTGCCATATCTAATTTGACCAGATACACTCAGAATAGCTTCCATATGAGTGACATCTTGAAATATATCTTGCATTCGTTTTACTTGAAGTGTGTTGTTGTCATAATTTTAAACATAAATAAAAAGTTGGGTGATATGTTGAATCTGCACATACAGAGAGAATTCCTGATTAGGATTGCCAGGTTAAATTTAAAATAAAAATTCAAGAGTTAAATCTGAATTTTAGATCATGAGTAAATATATCCAGGATTTAACTGAATGTCCTATAACTTCATTTGCTTAATCTTAACAGTCCTATTTCAACTATACAACACTAAAAAAGCAGCCATCAAAAGATGAAAGTGTACTAGACCAGATTATATATGTACTACCTTAGAATCTGATGCTAAGGAGGTGATTTTGAGAGCTTTTTTCTTTTTCTCTTTGTTCGGCATCCCATATTCCTGCATGATTTGCTTTCTCAAACACACCAAGTTTTGTCACCTTTCAGAGTTTTATTCCTGCACTGAATGATGATGATGATGGTTTTGATCATGAAGGCTTATGTTCTTTATGAAGATAAAGAACAAAGACAGTCAGTCACATGGTATCTTCTGAGGATGTATACCTCTCTGGTGTGCATGAACGCTTCTGGACCTTGGACAGAGCTTAATCTGAGCAGATCATCATTGGAAGCTTGATCTTCCCTTAGATATGTTGCCATTCTGTTTTTGTTGTTCCTTCAACAAAAAAAGGACAGAATTGCCAGTGTTTTGAATCGCAAGCGACTTGACGGCACATAACAACAGCAACTATTTATACTGCCTCAAATAGTATCCCATTAAATGAAATCACTGAGAGAAAAAGCAAAAGTTGTTGAAGCTTCAAAAAATCTTGAAGAATGCATTAAAAAATTGCAAATAAATTTCTTAATACAAAGGTAACAGGAAATTAAAAGTAACCTATGTTATTATGGGTCATTCATTATTAGTCAAAATCAGCTCAGCAGTAGCGGGTTTAGTTTTTTCTTGTATTAATATATACTTTACACAAAAGTTTTTTCCATAAATATGACAGTTTAGAAAATATCTTGAGGTGGACTAGATTCTCAAATATATATATATATATATATATATATGTATGTATGTATGTATGTATATATTGATGTTTCTGGTTATTTTCATTACCGTCCTTTAAAATGCAAGTTAATCTAACAACAGCAGAACAAGCTCTTGGGCTATGTGACTGTGCCTTTAGTAAAGTGATTAGGATTTTTTTGAAACCAAGTTTTCCATTCTTAAACTCTACATCTATCCTTCTTCCCACACCCCCATCCTGTACCTGGGTATAAAGATTGAGTGGGAAGAGGATCCGATCCATTAAAGGTACAGCTCTGAACCAACTGATTTTCTCTTCCATAATTTAGAATATTAAGTAAATATATTTAATGTCACTGGTTGATTGTTCAGGGCTTGGACTGCACTTTAAATGGAATCTAAAATAATGAACTGAACGTCCTTATGTCAGGAGTGCCCTGTCCCCACATAGATTTTAGGAGAGAAATGTGAATGGCTTTTGGGTGATTCCACACAGAATTACAGTTTTGGGGAAAACTACACTAGCATAGATTCTCCAACTTGCATTTCAAGTAACAGATTAGATTTTGTTTTAAATATTTTGAGGTAAAGGTGTGGGTAACAATTCTTTAGACATACACTTTCCTTTGAAATTATTTCATCAAGTAGAAAACTTTCACTTTAGGATGGCCATTTCATGTGGTTTTCTGTATTCACTGGTGCTGCTTCTAGTCCGAACTCATAAGCCATTGCCTTATTGAGGCAAGAGCATTTGGGATGAATGTAATCAAGTTACTTTTAAAAGTGAATTTTAGAAGAGTAGTTTCCATGGTGAGGCCTTCAGTATTTGGCTGAATGCAGAGCGTGTTGGAGTGGTAAGTCGATGATAAGTTGTTCATCACTAACCTTGTTTGCACTTTTGTACACCACTGCTTGCACTAGCATCTTAGTGTGACTTTTAACAATTGGTTTACAGTGTATACAGATTGTAAGCATAATTTATATAAAGATGTTTCTGTT